GCGAAAGCAGTCCTGAGAGGACAATTTATTGCGATAAATGCACACATCCAAAAAGAGGAAAGAGCCAAAATCAACACATTAACAAAGCATCTTCAACAACTAGAAGCAGACCAGCAGAGGAAACCTACAGTCACCAAAAGAACGGAAATAATAAAGACTTAAGAGCAGAAATAAATGAGATGGAAAACCGAAAAACTATAGAAAGAATCAACAGGACAAAGAAGCTGGTTCTTTGAAAGCATTAATAAAATTGACAAACCATTGGCAAAACTAACTAAAGAAAAGAGGGAGAGGACACAAATAAATCGCATCAAATGTTCCACAGAGAAGGAGAGGAAAATAAGGAAATAGAAAAGCACTATAGGAACAGGCACTGGCATTTATAAAAAACCTGCAAAAGGCTTCCAGACAATTAATGCTAAAATATCAGAAATGGACAACACACTGAAAGGGCAAAGGAACAGAATTGAAGGGATGGAAGCCAGAATCAGCGAGCTTGGAGACAAATCTCTCAATACTGCTAAGATAGATGAACAAACAGAAAAGAAGAGAGCATATATTATTTAAATCAGAATAAACAGGACAGAGTTCCATTAAAGAAGATAAAATAATCAGCTAAGAAGTAACTTGAGGTTATTGCCCAACTGGGCATATAGTAAACCTGCCAGATTCACCCCCACCTAACTATCAAGTTAAATAAATGGATGTAATTATTTACACACATTCTCAAGCTTCATCACAGATAATCTATCCAGCCCTGACCAAAATGTAAATGACTGTGGCATAGAAGACACTACAGTTGTCCCATTTGTATCTATAAAAGATGGGTTTCAGGATGTCCCTCCTCAGACCAAAATCCATGGGTGCTCAAGTCTTCTATCTACAGGGGCTTCAAAAAATTTACAGAAAAATGGAAGTGAAGATAGTACAATTTCCCCACAAATTTTTGAAGCCCCTTTGTATAAAATGGTGTAGCAATAACATATATTAACCTACAGTCATCCTTCTTATACCTTGAATTTGTCTCTAGATTATTTAATATAAAAAAACAAAACCCAAGTCTTGGTGTGGAGCTGTAGGATAAGCACTTGACCATACAGTCAGTTTGAACTCCAAGGTTGGTTGGTGGTTCAAACTCACCAGTCACTCCTCAGAAACCCTATATAGGGTCACTATGAGTCAGAACTGACTCCACAGCACATAACAATGGCCACTGAGTTGATTCCAACTCATAGAGACCTTATATAAGGGTTCTGAGACTGCAAATCTTTACAGGAGTACACAGCCTCATCCGCTATGTAAACAGCACTTTACACTTCCTCTTAGTCTTTGAGGGATTGCTTTGATCTTTTAATTGCTTTTCAGGAGCCATTTAAAAAAAAAATGTATTTTTGATCCTTGGTTAGTTGGATCGATAGATGTGGAACATATAGATACGGAAGACTAATTATATCAGTGTGGGAAACTATATGAAAACCAAAATCAGGAAATAACTATGTGCCTATTAAAACACCCTTATGTGAATATAAAGAACGGGATTTCCACCCAACTAAAAGTTATGAATCGGGCTGCAAACTACAAGGTCAGCAGATGGAAACTACCAGCTGCTCCGCAGGAGAAAGATAAAGCTTTTTGCTCCTGTTAAGATTTACAGCCTTGGAAACCCTGTATAGCAGAGTCACTGTAAGTTAGAACCACCACCACCACCAAAAGAAGGAAAAGTATCTAAAGGAACAAGAAAAGTTAGTCTCTATTGGATTTTCTCTCTCCCTCTTTGTGTAAGTATATGTCAGATCCATCTTGACACTCACACACATAGGCACTGCCAAGGCAGCTCTCTGTCCTCACAGTGTGAGTGATGCCAACAGACCGAAGCTGCTTGGAAATTCTGAAATGTGCATGTATCATACAAAACAATATAAAAAGCACTGGAACTTGTCACTAGCACCATCAAAATAGTTACAGGATACCAAAAATAAAAGCAATTTCTAGTGAAGGAAGTTATAAACTCATTTCTAGTAACTGTCCTAACTAAACACATATATTTAGAGAACAAACCCAGATGCCAATTTATAGAGATTATAACAATTAGGTTGGGTACAAGAACATAAAAATGGCAAAATTAAATATGGGATTTGAAAATATGAACATAGAGATAAGATTATGAAGCACTTCTCAGAAAATTCTGGGGGCTCTGATAAGCATGAATCACACATCATACCCACAAATCGCCATCACAAAGAAACGGTGAGCTTAAATATTACACATACTGTTTGGTTCATATGCAACAAAATTGAGCCATTACATGGGCATCCCATAAAGAAGATTTGACCCTATGACAAAAAACAGAGTTAGCTACATGCCACAAAAATATAAACAGTTCATTTTAGGTCTCCATCTCCTTCTTCTCCATCCCCTTGGATAGACTTTTTGATACGAAGCAACATGGTAGTAAGCCACTGATCCAAGCGAGATATTGAGTCAAATTCCTTTACCTAGTTCACAGGGAAAATGAATAGGAATTATTACATGGAAATGCAATCAAAACACAAAACATACTACCCTTAATTTCTTTCATTATTTACAGTGATAATCCATCGATTTTCTTCATAAGAAATTGTTCATCCTAGTTTATGTCAGTAAAAGCTATTCATTACTTTATTATTTGGAGTCCTGGTGGCATAGTGGGTTACAAGTTTGGTGGCTAACCGCAAGGTCAGCAGTTTGAATCCATCAGTCATTCTCAGGAGAAAGATGCGGATCTCTATTTCTGTAAAGATTTATAATCTATTGGTGCCAACTTGACAAGATACACCAACAAAACTGACAAGTTCCAGAGCTTTATGCATGGAAAAAATTCCCAATAGCCTTTGTAACTGAAAGAGTGCATTTAGTGTGACAAAATTAGACTCTTTATTAAGAATTAGACCTGGTATGGCGCTATAGGACAAGTACTGGACTGTTAACCACAAGGTCAACAGTTCAAAGCCACTAGTTACTCCTCGAAAACTCTATACAGGGTTGCTATGAGTCAGAACAGACCTCAAGGCACTTAACAACATAAGATCATGGAAAATTATTATGAGGGGGCTTCAAAGAGTTGTGGAAAAACGTAATTAAAATATCATGGAATTTTTTTCATGAACTTTTTGAAGCCCCTTCATATTGTTCTCATATTCACCTAATGAAAGAAACTTAACTTTCAAAATTAGGATGTGTGGAAACAACATTCTAACATATTTCAATGCAATATCAAGGAACAAAATTTCAATAGGATTAAAATAGTTTTGTCACAAAAGTTAAATAGGAAGATACTCTTTTGCACTACCATTTCGTATTAATTCATCTTAGTATATTAATGAAGGAAACTAAGAAATTTGCTTAGTTCTACACATGTTGTTGCTGTTGTTAAGTACCATTAAGTCAGTTCCAACTAATGGGGACCCTGCCCTGTCCAAGGCTTCTAAGGAGGAGTGGTTAGTGGGTTTGAACAGTTGACCCCGAGGTTAGCAATCCAATGCTAATTCTATAGCTCCACACCAGGATCCAAGTTCTACACACATAAGATAGCAAACAAATGAGAAAACTGAATAATGAATGTAAAGAGAAGTTCCATTTATTTTAAACCAAGAATATAACAGCAAATCCTCACTGCTTATATTTTATATTATGAACAGAAAAGTAACCATTTTTACTTTACACTTAAATTTGAGTCAGAATATTTTCAAAAGAAACAGCCAATGAGCTATTTGTTATATGAGATATTTGCTCCTGAACTAGGCTCACAACTAAATTACAGTTTTAAGCTTCAGCCAAGAAACAATGCTCAACACAGCTGCTATTCTAGCATAGTCTAATGGTTAATGGAACTGTCCAATTTTAAAGGTTTGTAGCTCTGGTAGCGTAGCAGTTACAAATCAGGCTGTGAACCACAAGGTTGGCAGTTCGAAACTGCCAGCTGTTCCGCAGGAGAAAGATGAGGCTTTCTGCTCCCGTAAAGATTTACAGCCTCAGAAACCCTGTACCGGGTCGCTATGAGTCAGAAGCGACTCCACAGCACATAACAACAACAGGATACATAAAAAATGGCATTTGGAAAATACACTTAGGTATGCTAATAATGTTCAGGTAAATGTTCAGAAATAACTGAAACTGAGAGAAGTTTCTGTTACTTAAACTTCCAAAGAATGTACTTTATCTCCAAAGTATAACTTACCGCTTCAGTGTAAGCTTCACTGTTCTGTTCTTCATGGGCTTCTAGAAGTTTCTATAAAATAACAATAGGAAATAATTCATTTTGCAAGCTGAAAAAAGTCCCATCTGTGAATACTTTAAACAAAGAATCAGCACTCATGTCACATTAACTGATGTTGCTAACTTCCTCAAAAACTGGGATAATCAAATGCAAGTGAAAAATCCAGCTTTGGTATTAACATTTCCAAATTGTCTGCTTAAGAACAAAATCTTATGTTCCTCACTGTATACCTATTCCTCACTTATCAACATAGTTAGGTTCCAAAAAACATAATCATTATATGAAGACTGGCATTATGCAAAAATGGAAGATGACCCATGAAATCATACAATGGACAGTGACCAGATAATTATATAACCACCATACCACTGAGACTCAGGCGCAGTCAAGTTGTCATATAATTATCAAAGCCTGCGTTACTCAGGCCTTGCTCATGCTCATTACTTCCCGATGTGTGTCATTCATACGAAAAATTATTGGATAGTAGATTCTTTTACTACTGTTATAAATGTCAGATAATGAGATAGTACGTGATGAGTGAGTGCAGTGGCATTTGAAGACTCATAATGCAAAAAACACCAGGTCCTATCAAGCACAAACTTCATGCAATTAAAATCTCACTTAATTCCCAACCTAAAGTTGTCACCTGACAGCAAAAGATTCTTTTTTTTCTTTAAAATTACTTACTTTTAATAATTTACATTCTCTTGAATCTGTAAATGCTGGAAACATTTCCTCATATTTCTCTAGAGCAAGCTATGAAAGAAAAGCAAGTCCATTAATGTCAGATTTATGGAAATAAGAAACAAAGCCTTTGGCATTATATTAACTTCAATTAGATTTATCTGTATCAATTTAAATATTTAAGAAGCGAGCTGCTAAATGTAATATTAAAATCAACATATGTAACCTATTTATTTAAAATTTCAATTAGGAATAAATTTCTAACCCAATTTTTCTAACTTTTTATAGAGAAATCAATGTGAACATATCTAATTCTTAAAAAGTTAGGTCACACCCCCTCGATACACAGGGTAGACAGGGATGGGCAACTTGGACACTGGCTACCCAAAATGGGGGGCTACAAAGGCAAGAAGTGACTGGCTTACAAGCTTTCAAGAGGCAGCCTAGCTAGAGAAGGTGTGGAGGAAGGCAGACTCGCCACTGAGTAGTATCCAATCTGTCTGGATGGGGCTGATGAAAGGTGATGAGGATAGCACTCATGTGGCACAATAGTGAATCATTGCTATCAGGACTGACTGTGAGGGTTGGAAATGTAAAGGTAGATGTTTTGTAGTAAAAGGAGGGAAGTGGTTGATTTTGCAAAAAAGAGAAAGAAAGAAAAAAGTTAGGTCAGGTGTCTTTATTTTCATCCATTAAATATAAACACTCTGTCCAAATTCCAAATAAAATATAAATAAAATCCAGACCACTATTAGAGTTTAGAAGAAATAACACTGTTTTTCTTAGTGACTTTAATTCTTTCTGTTCTTTCAACTCCAAACCATTATCAACACTACAAAGGCTGTTTGTCCAAGTCTTGTCTCCCAGTTTTCACTCTGCTTTTCAACTTCCCTTCAACTCCTCATTTCACCCCAAATCCCTCCAAGTCAGAGTTGTAGTTGGGAAAATAACTTGCCTCAGTAGCCAGAGTGAACATAAAAAAATGGGAAACACCTTTGTCTTTCCATTGTTTCTGCTGTGATTAAAAATTCAATTACCACTGTTGAGTCAACTGTAACTCACAGTGACCATAAGAAGAGGATTCAAAAAGTTTATGAAAAAAATCCAATTATCTTTTTATTCCATCTTCCAGGAATTTTTTGAAGCACGCTCATATTTTCAAGCCAATAAGGACACTAAAGCCATTGGAAGGGGGCTTTGAAGCAAAGCTGTATTCTCCAGTGAGCATTTTCTTTGAATGAATGTGATTTATTTTGGAAGGAAATAACAAAGATTTTTTTTTTCTGATTGAAAAAAAGAATGTTACACTAGTTTTATTACTTCCTCCTTAGCCTATTCTCTTTAAAGCAAAATTGCCAAAGGAAACTTGGCTACCAAGGAACTTTATGAACACAGTTCAGCAGTCAGTACAAGATCACAGTTGGGAAACCTATTAGAGAATTATTATTATTTTAAATGTATCTAGTTTAGTCTTGCTATGAAAATATTTGATTTCAAAAACGATAGCGTATCTGAGGCCTATACTCCTGGGAAAACTGCATCAGTGCACTAGCCCCAAAGGACTTCTTACCTTTGCATTTAACTCATCTACTATGAAGTGACATAGGGCTGCTTTAAAGAAGTAATCCTTTGCACTGTACTTCAACAAAGGATTGTCCATAGTGTTTGTTCCAACCTAGGCAAAAAAAAAAAAACAGAGCTCAGTTTTTTCAAAAATTGCCTTCTTTCAACTAGCCATTTTACTTTTCTTTTTTGCCCTGTAGGAAATACTTACATATTTTACATAAGTTTAACTATGAAATATATTCTAGAAATTTCTACTAGATTGTTGTTGTTAAGTGCCATCGAGTCACTTCTGACTCATAGCAACTCTGCATAAGGTTTTCGAGGAGCAACTGGTGAGTTTGAACTGCCAACCTTGTGGTTCAAAACGACCTCGCTGATCTGTGTAATACTTACATATTTTTTACATTAGTTTACTTATGAAATATATTCTAGAAAATTCTACTAAATAAGAAATATTATATACATTCCCATGAAGTGCTGGTCTATTAAAAATGATTCTGAGAACTCCCACTCTCAGAAAGGAATAGACATACTTTCCTTTATTTCTCTCACTAAGTGCAACTAAAAGCCACAGTTGTTGTTAAGTGCCTTGAGTTAGTTCCCACTCAAAGCAACCCTGTACAGGGTTTCTAAGGTTTCATAATCTTTGCATGAGCAGAAAGCCTCATCTTTCTCCTGTGGAGCAGTTGGTGGGCTTGAACCATGTTTAAGTATATATATAAAACAAATCTAAGAAGACTCAGAAAGGTGGACAGAATAAGGTACATGGTAATGTATATATTATTATTTCTTTCCTAGTGGAATTTTTATCAGAGTCCTGGTGTGGTGCTGTGGGCTAATGTGCCAGACTGCAAACCATTTTAACTGCAAGGCTGGAGGTTCAAGCTCACCAGCTGCTCCTTGGAAACCCTATACAGGATCGCTATGGGTCGGAATTGACTTGACGGCACTTAACAACAACAAGTGGAATTTTCTAGTATAGGATATTGTTTTAAAATAATTTATTTTATACCTAAATTAATGTAAAATATGTAATTATTTCCTAAAGAGTTAAAAAAGAAAGTAAATTTACTAAATGTAATCTAGGGACCCTGTGATCTAAAGGATAACATAGTGGTGAATTCTTAAATTTGGACCAAGCTAAAAAGAAGTACTAGAGAGTTCTTCAGAGAACCAACAATGAGATTAGCAAACATGACAACATCACGCAGAAGCCAACCCAAATATACAAGCATCCAAAATAAAATAAACCCACAAAGTAAAAAACAGGGAACCAGAGTTATCAATTTGTAAATGAGGACAACTACAAAGTGAAAAGAGGAAGTAAATAATGTAGTTACAGAGTTTCCAAACGGAAAAGAAGTCTGGATAATTTCAAGATAGAACACAATTTTAAATTTTGGAAGAAAATAATCAATTATAGGGTAACCTCTAAGAAAACTAATAAACCTACTACCAAAATAAGAGTTAAATCATCAAGCATTAGTAAACACTAGAACAACAGCAACAAAGAAAATGACAAGAAAACCCAAAACAAAATGAACGGAGCCTAGAAATTATGTGAAACAAACAGCACCACACACACACACAAAAGCCCACAGCAAAATGACAGCAATAAATTCAAAGCTATCAATAATTACAAAAAAAATTAAAAAGATTCAAAAACCAGTTAAGAGACATATTAATCAGAATTGATAAATAACATGACCCATCAATCAATACGCTGTGTACAAGAGACACACCTTAGACACAAAGATAAAAATACACTAACAATCAAAGATGGAAAATCAAAAGCAAATGGAAATCAGAGAAGAGCAGGTGTGGTAATATTGATAAAATAGACCTTAAGGCAAAGACCAGCATAAGTGACAAGGAATGGCATGTTACAATAAAGGGTTGTTGAACAAGAGGACAACCACAATAAATAGCTACACATCTAATGAAAGCGCCTCGCAATACATACATCAAGCTTGAGAGAGAAAAAGACATCACACCAATGTGATGGAGGACCAAATGACTACAAAGAAATTCAACAAAGAAATAAAAGAACACAACAACCAACTTGACCTCTGTAGATATATATAGAACACTCAATCCAACAATTGCATAATATACATTCTTTTCCAGCATACATGGAGTACTTCCCAGAATAGAGCAAATGTTAGGCTACAAAATAAGTCTCAATAAATTTTAAAACACAGAAATACTACAAAGCATCTTTTCAGATCAATGCTATAATAGAAATCAACGATAGGAAGAGTAAGAAAAAAAAAAAAAAATCAAATACATGGAAACTGACTAGGACCCTGCTAAAACAAACTGAGTAGCAGAACAAATAAAAACTGAAATGAAAAAAATCCCTTACATCAAATGAGAATGAAAGCACAACATGCCAAAACCCTTGGGTGTTTCAAACACAAGCAGGGTCACTCATGGTGGAAAGTTTTAGTTGAGTTTTCAGACTAAGAAGGGAATAGCCCCTGAAAACCATCTGAATAGCAACAAGACATTGTCTGATATGCAGGAAGACAAGTCCCTCAGGTTGGTAGGCACTCAAAATACAACTGAGGAAGAGGTGCCTCTTCAAAGTAAAGTCAACCTTAATGACATGGATGGATTAAAGCTTTGGGGACATTCATTTGCTGATGGATCATGACTCAAAAGGAGAAAAAACAGCTGTATACATCCATGGATATTTGGAACGTGGCATGTGAATAAAGATCAATATCCTAGACATTGTTGTTGTTAAGTGCCGTCAGTTGGTTCTGACTTATAATGACCCTGTATAGGGTTTCTGAGGAACAGATGATGGGTTTGAAACACCAACTCACAGTTAGCAGTCCAGTGCTTATCTTACAGCACACAGCACCACACCAGGACTCCCTAGGCATGAGTGAGCTGAAATGGATTGGTATTGGCCATCCTGAATTGAAGAATCATGGTTTACTATTATGCTAGGAATAACAAATTGAAGAGGAATGGCATTCATTGTTAAAAGTGCATTTCAAAATCTACCTTGAAATACCTGTTAAATACTAACATAATAGAAAGTATGTTAGCGTTCTCTACATGATAGAAATTTTGCAAGACTAATGACTTATTCACTGTAAATACCTTTCTTTTCAACAAAATAAATGGCGAGTATACACACAGACCTCACCAAATGGAATACACAGGATTAAATTGACTCTATCTGTAGGAAGAAATGATGGAGAAGCTCAATAAATCAACAGTCAAAACTAGACCAGAGGCTAACTGTGGAACAGACCAATTGCTAATATGCAAGTTCAAACTGAAGTTGAAGAAAATTAAAACAAGTCAATGAGAGCCAAAATATGACCTTGAATATATCGCACCAGAATTTAGACACCATCTCAAGAACAGGTTTGATGCACTAGATACTAATGATTGAAGACCAGAAGAGTTGTAGGATAACATCTAGAACATCGTACATGAAAAAAGCAAATGGCAATTAAAAACACAGGACAGAAAAAAAAGACCAAAATGAATGTCAGA